GATGGCCGCCGCCGCCCGGCAGCGCGGTACTTACTGAAGGGGCAGTTCTCCTTCTTGGTGCCGCTGACCTTGCCGTTCTTCTCGATCTTGAGAAAGTACTTGTTGTAGGAGTAGAGCTTCCTCTTGCGCACGTCGCCTTGGAGGTGATTGTAGCTCCGCACGTGTCTCCCCGCACTGGAAGGAGAGGAGAAGGACGAGGGGAAGGAGGAGGATGATGAAGAAGAAGAGTTGGTGGCCTCCGGGGACAGCATGTCCTGGCCAAGGTCATGGCAGGTGACAGGCACATAAGACACCAAGAAGAGCAGCAGGAAGCAGCAACAAGGCAGGTGGGAAAAGGCTGAGGCACCATTTGTCAGTATCCATTTGCACATTGTACTGAAACTCTGTGCGCTGGAAAATGTCTTATCAAATGAAACATACTGGAAGGGTAAAACCTGGTAAAAGGCAAGTGGAGAGCCGGTGGTTGCTGCTTCTGGTTAGATCCCTCTGAGCTCTGATCTGGCCTGAAGTAAGTGCACCAACATCCATAACTCAGGGGACAAATCGCCTCAGAAGTTGCTGCCTTTTAATCCTTCGAGTCCTCCCTCAGAAAAAAAGAGCTGTTGGCTTTTTAGGGGGGTTGCTGTGGTTAATCCTTTTTCTTTTTTCTCTTCCCCCCACCCCCCTTACAGACACACTCCCCAACCTGGTTTGAGACTTCCCAGTAGTTATTTTGTTCTCTTCCTCACTCCTTTCTTCACCATCTTAGATGCAGAAAGGTCTGAAAAATAGATGACAGCAAAGTGAACAACAACAACAACAACAACAACGATAAATAATAACCAGCAGAAAGGGGTGCTGGAAGGGATTTTTCACACATACCCCTTTACACACACACGCACTCACACTTTGTGGCTTTGCACCTTCTTCTGATCCCCACCCCCTTGCCTTTTTGCAAATCCCAAACCAGTTGCACAACTCGTCCTTTCTCACTGACAACCCCAGAGGAGGCAGTTTCTTTGTTTTGCTTTGAATTCTCCAGAACACTATTTAAAAAAAAAAAAAAATCCAGAGCGAGAGAAAAAAAGAGAGAGGGAGAGAGGGGGGAAAATCCCAACTTGTCTCCCCCCCTTCTTCCCTTCCTTTCCTTTCCCTCCCCCTTTTGGTTGTAAACAGGTTGGAAACTGTAGCCTAAATGTCAGCGATTACAAGTCAGAGGTGGGATGTGCCTCTGGTGGTCAACCCTTATTTGCAGGGGGTCAAGCAGCGGTGGGACATCTGAAACCCTTTTGCCGTCGGAGCGAGCGGCGCCCGCTGCGGAGGGAGCCCCGGGAGCTGCCCTCGCTTCCTCCC